TGTCAGTTTTCATTCAAATTTGGCACATACATGTACTTTATACATGTTAGGATGCATGTCCATAACAATTTGCTTCAAAATCTGGTCAAGGATGGCCGATTGACAGCAATCTGACTTTTTGGCCTTGCTACTATATTTCCACAATTTATGTACCATTTTCATTCGTATTTGGCACATACATCATACATATCAGTGTGTTTCATAATCAGATCAAAGATGGCCAAATAACGGCTGATTTTATTTTTGGCCATATTACTACTACACGGAACACGTGTTTTGATGTAAATAAACAATCTGTTGTATACGCCACTTGTTTTTTGTAATTTGATTCAATATGATTGCCCAGTGTCCAATTCTTGTGTAAAAGCACTAAATCATAATTTTTTACAAATCCATCTCCTATTAATGGTTTCAATCTAATCTCAATGACTTCATCAGCATCAAATTGATATGTCAGATCACAAAATTTGGGACGGGGACTGTGTCATTAACAATGACTTGTTTTAGCTGGAATTAATTTTCACTGAAAAGATTTTTTGGGTGTTATGGAAGGAATTTGTTTTCACTGATTTTTGATAAGTTAATTGGATGTAAAATATAGGAAAAAAGGTATATTCACTGGATTTTATTTTCACTGAATCATTCCTGCAGTGAAAATAGCGAAAATTAATCCCAAGTGAAAATAAAGTATTTCACAATAGTTTTAATTATTATATGTACATAACTTAGGCCAAAAAAACAAAAAAACAAAAAATTCTCGCTCTAGGGAAAATTGAAAAATGATGCGCTGATGCACAGTTTAATTTTTTTATTGTATTGATTATTTAAAACCACAAGAAGAAAATATAAGTTTTACATTTATCACATAATGCTTTCAAAATACATCTTTTAAAAGTCGATCGGAACAACAGCATATCCTCTAAAACAGAAAAATGTTATCCATTCTACCATATGCAGCACACATTAACCTGCAAAATTGAAAAAAAAAATGTGAGAGGCACAGGTTTCAAGCTGACATGCAGAAAAGAAGTAAAAAAAATTTCTTGCACTCGCCGACTTGTAAATGCAAAAAAATTGCTAAAAAAAATTATTTTTATCTTCTTCTTTTTTTTCACCTGCCGCATAACAAACCCAAGTTGCATTTTCGTTGGAGAATCATGATCAAAGTACCGAAGTCTCGTGCAGATGAGAAAAAGGTTATACATGGAATAAATTTTATTTCATTTCTTCTCTCCGATCAATGATCTCACTTGCAATTCTTTGAGAATCACACAAATCTAATGGAAAAAAAGAATTAATTTTTTTTTTTCGCCCTCTTCAAAACAATTGCCTTATAAAAACTCGAGAAACAAAAAATAAAAAAGTCTGGCCTTACCTAGCAATCATGGGCAAGCTGTTCAATAGTTTAACTATGTTTAATGAAATAATAGTTTTCAAACAGATTTGAATAAAAAAAATATTTCTTAATAGATACAAATAAAAACTTATGAAAAAAACAAGTCATGTGTTTTTTCGCTCTTATTTAATAGGTTGAATACTCATAAACAACCTCAACATGGTTCTTCATTCATGAAATACATTTTAAATTATTCTTGTAACATCAATTACTTTATTTTTGTAGATCATTGCTAATATGGTGTTATCAATCATAGCCGCTGTATTGGCCATCGCCACATTGCTGCCATTGTCGGCTGTTGGTATCGCTAGTGAAGATGAATGTGGTTACATGTATCAGTACACATCGTATGACTATATATGGACTTGTGCTTATAGTCACTATGTAGGTATAGAAATAATAAAAATAATTTTCAACTTGCAGGTTTCACTCCATTGTGCAAAGCACACAATGGAAGTTTTGGTAGTTACTTTGTCTGTGTGTGTGTGTGTGTGTGTGTGTGTGTACTTGTATCTGTTCCATTGATATTTAAAAAAACAACAATTATTGGGATAATGTGCAGACCTGATAAGTTTTTGTTGCAATGATGCATATTAATGGTCTAATTTTGCATATTAATTAGCTTTTCAAAGACCTTTACAATATATTGTTTACAATACGTTTTCATGTAGTGCATATCAAATAGCAGACCAATGTTCTTGTTTAAAAAGACTAATTTTAAATATGCCTTCAATAATCTCAACACACAGGAGTTCTTTGTCTTTATTGACCCCCCCCCAGATTGAAATGCACTGGTAGCTGTTTTAATGGATTAACCTTCTCACCAACATTTCCCTCGTTTCATCACAAATTTGTCCTGGGACAAAAATAACCAATTTTTTTAAGTAAAAACTGAAAATTGACTCGATTCCAAAATTAGGGTTCATTTCCAGAAATATGAAGAATATTAGAAAAAAGTACAGACAGATTTGGGCGAGAAAATCTGGTGGTGAAAAGCTTGGACCAATCAGATGTTCTTGTTGGGATCTGTTCTTACTCCTATAGATAATACTGCCACTGATTTATGAAGTGTTAAATTAACCCAAACAGCTTCCAGATTAACTCAGACTATTGTTTATTTTTAAATTTTAGAGGAGCTGTGTTGCCCTGTATAGTATGAATTTGATTATATCGATTGTTGTTGCCATCATTACTATCATCAGTGCATGTTTATGTGGTCGTGCTGTTTGCTGTATTCAAGGACCACAAAGAGCAGTAAGTAATAATCAGTAAATAAATTTTGAAATGTCATATGGGTAATTATGGGATGTCACGTGGGTAATTATGGGATGTCACATGGGTAATTATGGGATGTCACGTGGGTAATTATGGGATGTCATATAGGTAATTATGGGATGTCACGTGGGTAATTATGGGATGTCACGTGGGTAATTATGGGATGTCACGTGGGTAATTATGGGATGTCACGTGGGTAATTATGGGATGTCACGTGGGTAATTGTGAGATGTCACGTGGGTAATTGTGAGATGTCACGTGGGTAATTATGAGATGTCATATGGGTAATTATGGAATGTCACGTCGTGTCATGAGATGTCACATGGGTAATTATGAAATGTCATGTGGGTGTTCATAAGATGTCATATGGGTAATTATGAGATGTCATGTGTGAAATGTCAAAATAGGGACAAATTCATTTATTGAGCAATCTTTTTGTAGATGTATTATACAGCTCCTGGGAATACACCCCAACAAGTACCTATGGTGAGCATGGCAACACCACAGGGAACTCAATTGGTTTATATGATGCCAGCTACGGGAATGCAAGGTATGGTGTATTTTAACTTCTCACATTTTAGCTCCTCTGTCATCAGAGTGGAACTGTTCATATAGGTGAGTGTCTGTCAGCTTGTCGTCCGTCTGTCAACAATTACATTTTCATCTTCTACAATAAGCGCAATTGCTTTGATACTTGGGTAACAATATCTTTCAGTGAATATTTTAGTGAAAATTGTTGGTAAAAAATGTTGTTTTTGACTTTTTCATAAAAATTACCAGTTTAATTGCTTTGATACTTGGTACAAAAAATGTATGTTGTGTCCTTGGGTTGACCTCTATGAGATTTTTAACAAGATAATAATAATTGTAATTGCCATGGCAACAACCAAATAAACTACTATGGATGTGATATGACATGAATATTGTCGGAATACTATAAATAACCATAGTCAATAGTTAATATCTCATTGTACATGACTTTGTACATGTCTTGACTTTGTTTTGAAGGAGACACTTTATTATTATACTACATGCACATCCCACAAAAATGAAGTTACGGATTGTGTACAAAAGTGCTATGATTGGTTGGCTAGAAACAACCTGATTATTCAATAAATGGCAAATGTGATTGAAGTGTGAGAAACTAGCCAAATCTGAAATGGACAACATGCTCTGCTGTTCTGTCACTAATTTTTTGAGCCAAAAACACAACCCTTTAAGGACGGTGGTGCACATGTGCAAACATTGATTTTCCCATAATCCAATGTGTCTTCTAATGGAAATCACAAGTATGAGGTTTGACCTGGGCGCGACTTGCACTAATTATCACCAGTGACTCCTTCGATACTTTTCAATCACCTGAAAATACCTAATTAAAGCTTGTTAATGTCTCAGTTTGTACTCGTTGATTTGCGCTACAGTCAAAGTCGCCGTCTTTGTTTATATGAGACCCATATAATCTCACACATGCGTGGCGCGATGACTACCACCCTTTAAAAACAGTGGTTGTTGTTTCATGAACTAATTATTCTATAATATGTCAAATTTTAACTCACGGCATTGATAATTGTTCATTGCATATTTACAGGTGTCCAACAACCTATGGTAGCATCCGGCTATAATCAACAGCCCGTCATGATGATGATGGTACAGCCAACTTATCAAAATCAACCGCAGCAGCAGCAGCAGCACCAACAACAACAACAGCAACAGCCATCTGCGCCAGGAGTAGATCCAGCACCTCCATATAGCAGTATTGACAACCAGGTCAATGGCTGACAATGGCGTTTTGATCACCAAAGTTAGTCTACTGTGGTTGACAATAAAATACCTTGGTGATATAGCCTTGACTGTCCATATAAACAAAATGTATTTGTAGCAGGAAAATAACAAAAAAAACATCATTCAGTACAGTTTATTGTGTAAGCTTTGGCTTCACTTCAGGGTCAGCTTCACTTCAGCATCGCTGTCACACGCAACGTAATATTACCGTAATTGGTATAGTACAGGTGTGATGGTTCAAATACCAAAATGGCAACAGTAACAGAAAGACTTCCCTGGCGACGATGATAAAATACGAACACGGAGCCAACAGATGAGGTTTCAACTGGTACTGGTATTATTATACTCTGCAAACATCAAGTACAATAACGCGGTAAAACTCCACTACTCCATTGACTAGATGACACTATCTATAAATAGACCATTACATCAGCATACATAATGAGTCTGGAACTTACTACTAATTTCTAGAATGTTCCATTACCTTCTATTGCGCCTCCTACAGTGTTCTATTACCTATTCAACCAGTTTCTAAAAAAAATCCAGAATATTCCACCCAGACACCGTACGGTTCTAGAACATTCTCAGTGACACGGAAGTGGTAAATAAGTCGTATGCGACAATCGCATCATTAAGGCATTGACCGGGTCACCGGGGTTGCCTGGGCTCATGGTCAGGGGTTGCCTTGATCATCATTCTTTGAACCAAGTCATCAATAGTTTCTGCGTAAAAACAAAAAAAGGCACTGCAAACTGTAGATAGCATCGTAAATTCAATCCTTCTTGTTTTGAGGAACCAATAATTTATCAGCGAAGTATCAGTGATTGTGATTCAAAATTGCTTTTAGAAGAACCAGGGAAATTACTAATGTAACAAGTGGAAATACTCACATTTTGAAAATTTTTACTGTATTGCCGTTTAATAATAAATTAATACACTACTATCAAACTTACATTGCCAAGCTTCTACTTCCTGTAATCTATGTAATTATTGAGTAATTTGTATGCAGTTAGACAGTTTGCATTTACTTACAGGTACAAGGTCGCCATAGAGGGCGATTGGTATTGGAGAAACATTTATTTTTTCTGTTGTAATCGATTTGTTCTTTAAAAATTTGGTAAACCTAGTGCTTAATATTTCATTGTAATTTTCAACTTTATAAGGTTTGCAATTCATTATTTTGAAGCAAGGTCATTGACCGGGTCACCGGGGTTGCCTGGGCTCATGGTCGAGGGTTACCTTTATCATCAGTCTGAACCTTGGTAGCACACTGGGTGCATGTGATCTTGGTTAATGTCAGTCTCTTCTCAGTGGGTGCACCAAAACTGTGCCATCCAGTTTGAATCATGAATAATCAATTATAGGTAAGATAGTAACTTGCTTTTCCAGCCTATTTCTCTAACGTATTTGTTATATTGTTTAAATGGTTTTTGGGCAATTTTACTGCGGTATCGACCATGTTTGTACAGAATTTGCTTCAATAATGACTTGATAATATATCATTATTTGTAATTTACATGGGTTACATGTAATTGATGTAGTATATCGTGCCCAATGATTTAATAATTAAGTTGTTGTACTTAAAAATTGTGTTGAGTGGTGAATGACATTTAGAGTATAACATCCATTTACATGGCATGATATTCTACAACGCCCGAATATATTTTATTGTATTGATTGTGCATTATGCATAGCTGACAAGCGAGTCGCTGATATCTTAGTGTTGGAGTAGTTTCAAGTTAAAACTGTCCCCATTTGCATACTTTGTAACAAGTATTTAAAATTAAGTGAATTGAACCAACACCATTGGAATGTAATGTAACGTACTAATGTACAAGTCTTGTTTGCATTATATATTCTAACACAGGTATTTCTGATACTTGAGTATCAAAATGCTTTACAGAACTTTACAGATTTCAGCTATTAGTCCAGTGGTCTGTTTTTCCTGTTACACTAATTTTGTGTTTTTTGACTTTCATTTGACTTGAGATTAATTTTAAAATTTTAAAATTTTAAAAGCGATAATGTCAACTTCGATCATTGGTAAAATGTGTAACTGCGGGTAGTTATTTTTGTAGCCACATGTATGCTTTCCATTGCTTGCATTTTTTCTTTACCATGCCGTTTATTCGGTGTTATTTGCTTACTTTACTTCCTATGTCGACAGCAACTATGAGTTTACAATTATTTCTCAGTACTTATTCACTGTTATAATGCTGTACCATTACTTTCACCATCCTAGTACAGCCAGATTCAAAGGCCTTTGCCGCCGTTTGGTGTGGGTCGCGTGGATGAGTTTCATGCTCTCTGCAAGTAATAAGCCCGGTAATGAAGCATCTTTTTTGGGGGGTGGCCAAGGGGAATAAGTGTAGTGATGTGAAGCTAGGCGATTAGGTGCAGTTAGCGAGCACTGGTTGAGTCGTGCATGCAGTACGCGTTTACTTTGATTTGACTTGACTTTTTACGTTGCCGTTTATTCGGTGATATTTTATGTTCATGTCTCACAAGTTCTTGTAGAGTGAGGCTCACCGCAGCACATCCGAATACGACAAGTCTCCTGCTTTAATCATTGTCTTTTGTAAGTAGAATATTGTATTTACTATACTAGCATAGAGGTCCAATATAGTGGAAATTTTGTACATTCCAGATTTTTTTTATACAATATAATGTATATAAACGTCATGTAAATTTAGTGAATGTTGATGTGTGAATAAAGAAACAAACAATGTGTATATAAGAAAAGTATTTTTATTCTTTGAATATTATTGTCACATTTTCCATTGATGAAGTAAAAAAGAATTCTCCAGCAAAATGTACCTTCTAATTACAATAGACCTGTGAGCATTTTAGCTTCTGACAAAGTGGATTATTTGTCTCTTAGACACGCTTGGCCCGAAAGTGGAACTGGATAGTTCTCAAACATTGTCTTTGATTTAGTCGTGTCTCCTTGAACTCCATTACTACCCGCTCTCCCATAAACATTACATTCTAATCTCTCATCTTTCGGATACAACTGGAAAAACAATAGTTTTGCAAAATGTCTATAGCTATGAGATTTTGTCATTGAGTGGTCCATGAACACTGTTTCTATAGGCGAGATGTTTTCTTCTTGTTGTGGTGTTGGTGGTTCCTGTAAATAGAGATGCATCCAGCATAGATGTATCTCCTAGCTGTAACAATTCATCTCTGAGAGCAATTTGTTTCTTGTTGAGGTAGTTTTCCTTATCAGTCTTCAATCTTTGGTACACCTGTTCATATGTCATTAGTGGTGTTGTCGATGGTAGAGTTGGTTGTGCTGTTGATGGTTGACAGTCGTTCTGAGTTGGTGATGGTAGAGGTGTTGATGGTAATGGTTGACAGTGCTGAGTTGGTGATGGTTGAGTTGCCAATTGTAGAGTTGGTTGTGCTGTCGATGGTTCTTGGTAATTCAACAGGCATCCATTAATTTTTCCTGCAGTTTACCTGCCAGCAATGATATTCCGTCTCTATAACCAGGAAATGTATAAATAGTGCCGGTTCACCAGGCAGACTTGCCATAGCAATAAAATTGTGTTTCTGTCAAAAAAAAAGATCAGTTTCTCACAAATATTACTTTCAATGAAAGAGCAGATTTTTGTACAGAAAATAATATGTGCACACATAAATCATTAGGTGGGTGAAAATAAAAATAATTTAATTGTTTTAGATGTGTATAAAATATTTTTATAAAAACATTTCTCAAATTACAGCATTATTAGGGGCTGAGAGGGGAAATGGTAGACACTGCCATCAATGGTTTGCATATGATGACATGCTATGAACATTTTGTTATCAATTGAATGTATATTTTTCTTACATTTGTAAAATTGATAACACACCTGTGGAGTTTTCTGTTTTTTAGCCCCTCTCTTCTTTTTCTTCACTGTTTGCTTTGGTGTAGATGCTGTAGGTTTGACCACAGTCCCCGAGTGACTGTGTCTAAACATAGCAGTCACAGTCGACACAGCGCGGCAATGCTGAAAATGGCTGCAATAGATGTGAGCATGCGCATAATAAGGAATGATATCCATGGACAACTTTCGCAACCAGGTGAGCGCATCCGGGCGACGCATTTTATTCAGCCTTTTCCAGTATCTGGCTTTGAATATAAAGACCTGTAAATAAATGCTACACTCTTCTAAACCAAAACACTGATAAATGACTACCCACTTCTAAACAAAAAAATGTGAAAATGACACCCCAGTCGGACGGCACATACCCGTATCGCACTTCTAATGAAAGTCCCCCCCGGCTTGCTATCCGAACAAAAATATTACAAGGGGGTCCGTAAATTTGTCAACCCCAATGACAGTTAACAAGCAAACAGTTTTATTTAAATTAGTTTTCAATCGAGAAAAGAATAAATACAAGTTTAAGTACAGTACTGTACTGTAAAATAATTACGTGTAAAAGCTGATAGTAAAAACTTTACCTGATACAGCTAAAATCGTTGCTGTCTCAGAGTTTTATTTTCCCACTGAATCAAGACCTCTTCTCCGACTTTAAATGATGCACACCTGTAACTTTAGACCATTTACAAACTAGCACCTTATCATCCACAAGAAACCTCAACGGGACGAACTTGGGTTCTGAAATAGACACAATAAATAGTCAGATACAAAGAACGGCATTTACCTTAACTGATTCGTTGCATCTATTTCACGATCGTTATACTTTTCCACATAGGTCGAATATTAAAGCGGGCATTAAGGCTTCTGTAGATTTCTCTAGCAACGTCTGAGTTTGTCATCCCTCACGAGCTTAACATTTATAGTGGTTAGCAAAGCTTCTTCATGGAGGAGTGGGATAATACCATAATTGGAGACCACTACACCCGGCTTTATCATTTAATTTTCGATGCCAACCTTCAACGTCGTTATTGGTGCGGATTCTTTTCATAAAAATACTCCATGATGAAGACGGCTTCCAAATAGTGCTATCGATCCATGTTTTTCTAATATATTCTACCAGTCTATCCAGATTTGATGTTGCTGCATACTTTAACACTGTAAACGTTGCAGGAATGCGTTCGTGTGGAAGATAAGGGAGTGCCATCAACTGTTTGATAATTTTA